CAGCACCGAGCCAAGACATGAACAGAAAGTACAAACGGCAAATGATGACGAGCGAGATCTGGATGCGCCGTGCTCGTTCTTTGCTCTACCCAACGGGATACACATCGGAGCCGTGACGGATCGAAAAGTTCATGCGGTACTCGAAGATTCGGAAACGAGAGAAATTCAGTCATAGGCAATTTGAGGTGAACATTGTGACTTGTTCACCTTTTTTTTTAAAACATAATAGCCAGATATTAGATTGCAGCAAGGACTTCACGAGGTCATTAAGTCATCTGCCACCCATGAGAGAAAGTAGAGCATTGTGCGTTTAGTGTGCGACCGGTCGGCTCACGCGCGCACGCACACCAGAGCTGAGTCCTCCCACATCACGCTGCTGTTTCTGCTTTGCCGCGGAGGTTGTTGCCAAGGCTCGGAATGAGCCACTTCGATTGGTTGAGCGGGCTCATCAGCGTGAGAACTCGCCGGCGGGATTGGCTGCTCCCATAAAGGAAGCTCCTCAAGATGCTTTCGCCGTCTCATTATGGCAACGTGCTGCTGATGCGATTTAATTAGCCCGGGCTTCAAATTGGCACAACCACACTCCTCCGACTCCCTTGATCGCGCCTTTCGGAGGTAAATTAACAACAAGGCGATTGTGCTACACGAGTGAGGATTCTCGGGAGTCGTCCTGATGAGGTGGACTGGAAAACGGTGGGAGTGACATCATCGTCATCATCGGATGCGCTTCCTAAGCGGCCTATTCGCCGTGTACACTTGGTCAAGACAAACAAGACAAAACATGTCCTCGGCCTCAAGGTGAGCACGCTCGCCAGTTCGCACAGGCGAGTACGAGGCGCAAGCCGGCGGCTGCGTGCGAAGCCCGAGCGCTGCGATGCACGCGCTGAATTAAACAAGGTCACTCGGCGCAGGCTGCGCACGCACACACGTGCCGGCGGTCACTTTGCAAACAAGGAAAAGAAGCGGCTCTGCAAACAGCAATTAGATGCCAGCTCTGGAGGTTTTTTTTAAATTTATTTTTTTAATTGGCACAAGAAAAAAAAATGATGTAAGAGTTGGTGCAGCAGGAAAGAAAAAAAATAATAAAATTTGTGCCAAAAACTGCTCGTGTCAACGCATCTTGATGTTATTCTCTTCAAATTAGTGGAATAATGTTTTTGCCGATACTTTTGCTCATTTGAAAAATGGGTGGCTAATACAAAAATCAACCTAAACATGCTTCAAAATGTAGAAGAAAAATCAAAAGGTCACGTGTTAGCATTGTCGCTTGAAAATACAGCTCTTCAGTACGGCACTAATATTTACTATTTTATTTTATTTTTTTTAGAAAGGGAAACCAATGCTCGGATGTCATTTCGGAGCACTAGTAAGAAGGGTTTAATAAAGTCACCATTTTTGTGAGCAAACCGAAAGAGGAGAGATTCAAAGTCAGTCTCACAAATCTGATTCACTTTTTTGGCGGGCCATGTCGCCATGACAACGCAGGCTGAGAAGCTGAGCGAGAGATTTATATTATCTGAGGCCCGGATTCGCTTATCTTTGTGCCTTCAATCTAGCACTTCTCGGCCGACAAGCGACCTTTTAAAAATTGACATATTAATTTTAAATGCTTTTTTTTTTTTTTTTTTTTTAAATACAGATCTGCACTCTTCCCAGGGCTTGAAGCTATAACATTAACATGGCGCCTGTTAAGGGGTTTTGAGAGGGCTGATGTAAAAATGATATGAAATGTAAATGAAAACGAATATGTCAAACGATAGCACTTCAAGGCCTCCAGTTGACCACAGCAGATCTCGAGATTAACAATCAAAAAAACGTGTTAGAAATTTATGTCTGAAAAGAAACAACACCGTTTTGAGGGGGTGGTCCCATTTGATGCAAATGAGCCCTCGCTCACCCCACCAACCCCAAGGGGCCAATGCTTTTGTTACTGCGGGGAGTAGCTAGGATGTTGCAGCAAACTACTACAAACCGCAAAGAATTTATTTATTTATTTTTAATTTTCATTCATGGGGGCAGTACTTCATCGCCAAGGCGCCGGATTACACGTGGTGTATATGCAAGGTAATGGCGCACTGACAACACTGTCACGGGCAGAGAAATTTTGTGCGGCGGTGCAGCAACACATGTAAACATACAATAGAACAGTACTCATTGACATACATTCTTCATCCTCTGTGCAGAATGACTAATATTAGTGCTGTACTAAAGAGCTGAGAAGAGTTGCGACATCTCAATGAACAGTCTATGGGTCAATTTTCCAATAATATGCCTCCCTTAAGGAGGAAAAAGAAACGTGGCGGTCACCTGAGACCGTATAAGCACAGTCACAGCTGCGATGGCATTGGAAGCCACTTTAGCCTTCGGCATGTGGAAAACATACACACTGCTGTATTTATCCAGAGCTGTTTGAGTTGACGCGCCATTCCCTGTGACAGATACTCGGGCCACAATGCGAAATGAAGCATGTACAGCAGCTTGTATCTGCATACAGGGAAATAAGGCCAGCGCATCGTTTCACAGCTCATTAGGCAGCGATGATACGCGCGGAAACTCACCAGAGCCTTTCAAGACTAACAAGCAGCCCGTGTCACTACAACGGAACACATTCAAACATTGCGCAATGATGACATTGTGACTTTTTTGTCAAAACACAAGAAAAAAAAATTTTTTTGAGGAAATGTGCCGGGATAAAGTCGTCTGTAAGGAGAACCTTTGCTGACCCGGCATCTCCAGCTGCTGTTACCATGGTAACTGTGCAGCGATAACCTGGCAGACGCAACAGCTCCCAATGTGCTAAAATGATGATGAACGACATTTTGATGAGAGACTAAGTTATGGAACGCCAAGAGTGGCACGGCTATGTCACATAGGAAGTATTCGAATAAATAGTACTTTTATTGATTTGACTGAATAATTTTTAAAAAGTCATGAGACAAAGTGCCCTCGGTGGCAGTCCGCACCACTGCGCCTCTTTTCTAAGAGTCTCTATGACAACAGCTCTGGACAAAAGCAGCACGTCTGCAGGCCTGCCGAGACGCCTCTCCCCTCCTCGCGAGCCTCTGCGGAAAGGCGGCGCCGTTGGGGAGCCATTCTAAAGAACCAGCTCATGGCCTATTCCCTCGCAACGTGGTGTCAGTATCGCCGGCAAGGTAATTTGGAGCTGAAAATGAGCCGGTACAGGAAGGAGAGTTCTGGTCTGTAACTCATCTCACTTCCTCCTCCTCCTACATATGAAAGTCATAACTCGATTCTTTGTGTCCAGTGCCGATCGAGCCTCCATCTCGCATACAGCGTCGCAATATGAGGCTCGATAAAGTGACGGACAGATGGCTGTTGGATAACTTTTGAGCGAGACAAATGAACACATCAAAACTCAAAACAAACCTCGCCGTAAAAGACGAGTCACATTGCAAATAAAAAATTTTAAAAGCCCCAACATTGCACGTCTAGTTAAAAAGGAAGCGCAGCGAGAAAAAGCTCGGAAAGGGATTTGGTCAATATCGCTGCGTTTTTGTGATCCAATTTGGGACGTGACGTGCCTTTCGAGTACTCGCTCTTCGCGCCTTCCTTGCTTTCAACTGTGCACATCACTCCTCGGATACCTCCAACAAGTGGACATCCGCCTCGGGACGTGTGTAAAGCCTTGAAACCGGCGCATGGAGAGAAAGCAAACATGGGCGATTTGCTCCCAGACACCTTGGAAGTGCCCGACCTCATCACGCAGGGAGAGGATGATGAAGGGCGAGACATGAAGAAGGATGGAGGAGGGGAGCACCACAAAGGTTTTGTTTTTTTTTTTTTTTTTAAACGAGAGAAGCAATTCTGTGTGTGCGCCTCGAAGGATCAGTCAGAATGCTCTAAATTGGCTGGCACTGAACAGGTCCTCTTTTTTTCATCATTATTTTTATTTTTTTAAAGGGCTGGCATTGAAAGAGTGAAAAGCATTCTTCGATTCAATTGGTCGACGATTCATCGGTCAGACACTCGTGGCAATAAAAGCAAACAAAATAAAAAGGCCTTGATCAAGTAGAGTGCCAATGTCCTTTTGACGGCAACTCAAGTGAAATGACAGCCTGTGCTTATGAAATAAAGTCCCGCTTGTGTGCGCGCACGTGTGTGTGTGTGATGCCCAAGAGCAGCCTGCCAATACAGCCATCAATATGTGTTAATCAAATAAATGCGCACATCTTGCAAAATAAAATTGAGTTTGGCCGACAGTCTCCAGCAGAGCCATATTGGATGCTATTGATCGCCTGCTGAGGCAGGAAGGGGCATGGGGTGGGGGTGGGGGGGTATACTATCAACGGTTTGGGCGATGAGATGTGATCGCAGCCAGGCCGGACGCGACCCAGCAGAGTTTGGTTCTGCACGCGCCACTTAAACCTTGAATCGCTCGTCCCAAGAACGCCCTTGGGAAAGGGGGCGTGGGGGGCACGGATGGGATTTGAGCAGTTTTGGGAAGGTCGTGCAGGAGCAAGTGTGCAGAAAGGGGAAAAGGAACGGCAGAAAGGTCACGAGGCAAAAATGATGAAGTCATCCGGATTAGATTTTGTGTGGCCGTACCGTGGACGAGAGCTGGCGACGCGCCCGCGCCTGCAGCCAGAGCTTCCCCCAAGCATCAGCACTTAATCACTTGTGCGGATATACACGGAATCTTAATCAATAGTCAGGGCTTGGGAATTTATGGAGCCTCTTAAAACATGTACTTAAGAGGAGGATTAATGAACAAATACAGCGGCCTATTGATATGGTCAAAAAAAAATGGCGGGGCTCGCTACTTTTTATACTCGAGTACCTTTGTCTACCTCACAACATGCAGCAGTTTGGCAGATACAATTCAGGATTCGATTCGTTGTTCTAAATCACCACTGCGCAAAAAGAATGAGGAACACGTAAGACTGAAGAAACTATGACGCCCACTACCATGTTTTTTTTTTTTTGTGTGTGCCTTTTTTGTCGACATGTCTTTGTCAGACAGAGACACTGTAAAAAAAAAAAAGAGTGGGGGGTGGGGGGAGTTCAGCGCCAAAAATCGTTGCCAAAAGTGCTGAGTGTGACGCTTCCTCGAGGGCTGGCATCCACTAAAGCACTGATGCAACAAATAGGCAATGTACTCCACAATGACTCCTGGACATCTCCGGCAGGCTCTGCAGGGACGCACTTTGGACATGCAAAATGTCAGACAAGGATGCAGCACTCATCTGAACGTCAATGGTGAGAGTTGTACCAAAAAAAAAAAAAAAAAATGGATGACGGTGTTTCCTATTATATGTTAGCATGAAGCGAGAGGAAGCTCCGCAGTTTTAAATGCACAAAGTATCATGACTGTTGTTTTACGTTTGGTTTGACATAACCTTCAACTGTGAACAGCTTGAGAGGAAGCTCCGCAGTTGTTTTAAATGCACAAAATATCATGACTGTTGTTTTACATTTGGTTTGACATAACCTTCAACTGTGAACAGCTTGAAGCCTTTTTTTGTTTTTAATTTCCCAAGGTTACCTGCCAAACGACTGCATGTTGCGAAGTGGGGTGGAGTGAAGTGACGCTGAATCGGAGGAAAACTGTCAACGATCAGCAGAGGGGAACGATAAACACTTTGCCTGCAGCGGTACCGAAAGGGAGATGTGATCATTTGGGCGCAGTCGGAGGTTAATTAATCAGTGTTTTAAGGACGGAACGAGCTGTTTTGACATGGGCAGCGCACGTGTCCAAAACAGTCAAATTAATTACAGTCCGGCAACGGTTGGGGCCGTGTCTGTGACTGCGAGCGGTTTTAATTAGCGCAGTGAGAGTTGTTCCGTCACTGCGTACGCGGGCATCTGGAGGGCCAGAGCCACACAGCGCGGCAATGAATAAACACGAACGGCCACATAAAATGCGCTTTTTAAGTCATTTCGCCGCTGATGCACTCCGCGGAGAACCACAATCACTGCTGTGTCCGACTCCGCTTGGAGACAATCGATAAAAAGCTTTCATTCCGCAAGGAGCAGCAGCCCCCCGCCCCCCTTCCTTGCAGCTCCACCCGGGGGTGATACAAGTCAGTCCCTGATGTCGCACCTCCAATCTCCAAGTCGCAAGTACGCATTAGTGATGAGTAAATAAAGAAAATGTGAGGGGTGGGGGGGACCTGGCAGGCAAATGCTCGTTTCGCTGCGTCGAAATTGGGATTTCATTAATTCTCTGTTGATTACAAAATAAAAGCCCTACCCGGATCACATCTGCACGGCCGCGCTGACACAAAACTGCCACAATATTAGAAACATCAACTCTGTTTGTGTCAGGTGAGGCGGGCCTTTACCGTCTCTTCAAAATAAAAGATGCTGCATAAGGCGCGGCAATATTTGTAGCTTGGATACACAAAGGCGTCGCATGACGAAGGAATAGGAATGATAAAAACTCAAGCAATTGACAATTTTGCGTGGCCAAAACGTGGTCGTTTCCGTCTTTCGACTTTTGACATTCCAACGCGCATTTGGAATATCGCAACAGTGGCGACGTTTGGCAAGATAGGATGGCGCAATTAAAACGTGATCACAATCGAGCCACTCTCACGTGCTTTTAATTTCCTTTTCATTCCTTCTAAATTCTGCCTCGTTTGCGCCTTTTCCCTCAGCGAGAGCCAGCTTGAAGGCTGCAATCAAACAAGCTCCTGATGGAACCCCCTGGGGTCCGACAGGCAGTGCGCACGCACGCACACAATTACAAACGGCAAAACAAAAAGAGGAATATGAAGTCCACATTCCCTGTCAGGTCAACCTCTCAATACTGCAGCTTGCTTGTTTTCCCGGGAAGTCAACATGTAAAAGTCCCTCCTAGTCGCTGCCTGAGTGCCTTGTAGTGTCACGGTTGAGAAGACGCCACCCGTCGCCACCGCGTCGCTGTCTGACGGGCTGCGGATAATTCGGGTAGCGCTCGTTGCGTACGCAAGTCGCGCGAGATGCGGGAAGCGTTTTGGGAGATGTGCAGGGGAGGGAAAGCTGGGAGCTGGCGGACGAAGAGCGCTTGTCACGTCAGCGTGGCGGTTCAAAGGTTAGGTGTGTAAAACCCACGAAGAGAAGAACAGAGGACGGCGCAGTCAAAACGCAACGGGAATCTCGCCTCAACCCGGCTGCGACACCGCCGCTAATTAGCAAGCGCTCGCATCCCGCAGAGCGCAATGTCTTGTTAGTTTTCCATTTACACTTTGAATGCGATCAGCCTTGCTCTCGCCTCATTCCAAAGTGTATTTACAATTGATTAGGGACGACTCATTGAGTTCCACTGACACCTGCAATACGACATTTGCGAGCACCGATTAACAAGATCATCTTTCCATTTCCCCACTAATTCCAACCAGTGTTCTTCCCGCTAACACCAAACTGAGAAAAGGGATCATCCTATCAAATCAATCACAAAAGCAGCCTTTTCAGATGGCGACGTCGCCGTTGGGAACGCATCCTTCCCTCCGTGATTTAAGGTAATAGCTTTGACATTTCATTGTCGAGGATAGTAGGAGCCTACCGGGATCAGTCGTGGCCTCAAAACACAGGCGCGAGGCAGTAATCGCTTCCCCCTGGCCTGAGAAGACGCGGAAATAAAAAGGAAATTCAGCGTTTATCTTTATGTCCGTTTCTAGTACATTTGGCTTAGCTCGTGTGTGGAGAAAAAAAAAAAAAAAAAAAAGGAAAACACAAAAAGCCATCATGCCGAGCTCACTCCAGGTTCATTCATAGGCATCAAAAAGCAATTATCAGCACACAACCGAGTCTTCCTTCGGCGAGTTCATACACCCTTTGCAATTTTAATGAATGGACCGGCGGTAATGCGCCAAATTACTGGAGCAAAACTCGCAAGCGAGAATGGCGTTAAAGGGCATAAAATTGCCCTCCATCCCCGCTTTGGCTTCAGGGAAATGTTGGCTGTCAGATTAAAAAAAAAAAAAAAAAAAAGAAGCACATTGATTTCCTCAAACAACGGCAGCGAAGCGTTGCATCACTTTGCCGCTGCGTTGACGAGTGATTAGCCACAGACGAGGTGTGCAGCCGTGTGTGTATTTACATGCTTGGCGGACCCGGCGCGTGATGTGACCGGCCGCCTCTGACTCAGCGCATCGTCATTGGGCCTCAAGAGGGGCACCGGCTCTTTTTATGATCTCATCCAGTTCGGGAGATGAATCCGGAGCGTAAGCTCAATATTGCGGCGAATGATTGTTGGACGTATCCGCAGCCGTATTGTATATGCGGCGGCCCGTTGCTGATGCTGCAAGCTTGCAGGAGATCGAATGAAAAAGCAGCCCCCTCCCTTCTACGTAGGGGACCCCATTGGTAATTTTTCTTTCATTATTCAGAAGGAACTCTCTCTGATTTTCTTGATTTGCCATGCTTTAAATTGATTCTCTTTAATCAATTCGCAATTCCTTTCCGGACAAACTCCACATTGGAATTACAATAAATATGAACGTTACAATGACTTAAATACGTTTTGTTCTGACATAACTCCAGAGAGGCACATGGAGGGAGGAGGGGGTGGGGGGTTAGCATTATGAAAGACACCGTTTAATCCTGGAAGAAGCACGTTGCTGTAAAATTATCGATATTATATACAGTTCAGATCTGGTCTTCTGAAATCAAAAGAATAGAAATAATAACACTGCCCGTTCCCACCTGAATCTTGGATGGGAATTACATGATTTGTTTTTGACTTGCCATCATTACTACGATTGCAGGTGCTATTCAAACTGCTAACAGTAATCATGTCGTACCGTGAACGCTTCTTTCTTCAAGAAAATGCCCATCTCTGCGTTTTTTTGGATCGGAAGTGACCGCAAAGGAGCCCACCTGCAGCACAGAGTGTGGGGTCTGCAAAGCGGTGACATCCCATCCTTCAAAGCACGCGTCATTTTGCGCATCAGAGGCCACTCCCGAGTTCACCAGACGTAGTTTAACATGGGCCCGTATTCGAACCAAAGTGTATTTCTATCAACAAAAAGGCCAAATATAGTGCAAAAGAGGAATTCTAAGGCACTGTAAGCAAAATAATGGGCCAAAAATATTCATCAGGAATATTGGAATGATCTCAATAATGTTACATGAATACAAAAAAAAAAAAAAAAAAAAGACTGAAATCCCATCATTTGTTCAACAGACATTTAGTCTGACAATCACCCTAAAAACATTTGGCTCAAAAATAATCCACATTGGGCCCGACCCAACGTTTTGGGTTATTCATTTGACCCAAAAGTGATGAACGCATAAAACAACCCAATTTTTGGGGATACGGCTTAGCGAATTATTTAAGGTTACCCAACTTAACAGGTTGCCCCGTTTTTTGGGACCCAATTTGGGTTATTTTTGACCCAAAAGTTTTTTTTTTTTAAGAGTGTTGTGACTGCATGATGCCTGCAACCAAACATACGTGCCTAAGTAGTTCAAGCGTCCACGGAGCACACCTACGAGTGCACCAGTTTAAGGCCCTGCCCAGTGTCCAAAACGGCAGGTGGGAACCACGCCAGTTTGCACCTCCTGAAGCAGCGCAGACACACGCTGCAGAACCAAAAGAGGTTGAGGCCGCAGCACCAGTTGGAGAGGTGCACCATGGGATACGTTGCCTTGGGAAAGTGGGTCTTCCAATGCTTGGCCACGTCGCTGCCCGTGGGAAGGTGCAGCGTGTAGTCGCTCCAGCGTTTGGACACGCCGTAGACGGCCGCCACGCCGCGCCCCTTCTCGCACCACTGCGCGTCGCCGTTCGGGCTGCAGTTGAACTCCACCCATTCGGATGTGAAGTCCCCGAGCGCGGGGCCCTCGCCCGCCTCCGGGTCGGGCCCGGCGGCGGATGGCTCGGCCGTTTGCACCGCGACGTAGACCCCGTCTACCCTACGTACCTCTTTGATCCAGGGGAGGGAGTTTTCCGTGTCTAGCACGAGGATAAGGCGTGAGCAGTGGCCTGCGTTCTTCTCCTTCCACAACTCCAACAGCTGGGCAAGATGAAAACTCTCTCCGCCTATGAAGACAACGGTGATAAGTGAATCAAGTCCTGTGCTGCCGGGGCGCGGTATAAAACAGTCATGGAGACACAAAGGAAGTAGTGGTACTTTGTCTTCTTCTCCTGGAAGTGACTCAGTAAAACATTACGTTAGCTATTTTTCAGAGAGGATAAAGAATATACAAAAATATACCCGTGAATATTGCTTTCAGGGTTCAAGTACCGCCACTATGAATGAACATTAGCAATGTCGCAATGACAGTTTCCTTTATAGATTAGCATTAGGCTAGTTTGGGGCATTCACGATTGAAAATGTAATTTTAAATTGGCAATTACAAAATACTTCTTTTTTTTTTCCGCCCCTTCTTCTACAAAAAGCAGGGATTAACGGTCAGGGTGTTCGTGGTTCAAGGACATTTCAGAGTGTGACACTCGTGATGGACACAGCGTCCCTGCGTGGATCAAACCCGTCAACTTCCACTTGCCCGACCGTCCGTCGAACCGCAGCGGACGCGTAAATTGCACAAAGATGGCGTTGAACAGAAAGGGGGCGGCCAAAAATGACAGATGAAAAGCACAGAGCGCAGAGCTGCCACAAATGCGTGAGCCAAGGGCACGCTCTGCGGTGCCAGGTAAATTAGAGCTTCAGGTGTTATTTCGGATGCCCACATAAAGCTTTCATGAACATTATTTTTGTCCCAAAGCAATGTGTCAAGCTGTCACCGGTGCCGCAGCAAGAGCGTCCAAAACCTTCCCAGAATCCTTTGCTCGGCTCCTGCCCTTCACAGCAATTTTAACTCCTTTGGCTCACTTGTCGGGACTGTGACAAATCAGCCTGTGAATGACTGACGGAGGAGGGAGAGAATGCAAAGCGCAGTGTGATGCCAATGCCGCTTGCAGGGTGAAGGCAATCTGTGTGTGTATGCACGCGCGTGTGTTTTGGGGGGATAAGTGGTTTATGTTGTTTTGGTTTTCTGAAGAAATAGAGATGCTTCACGCTATTTCTGAAATGTGAAGCTTTTTGGTGTCTGTGACAGCGTTGAGTAAATACAAGGGCAGAGGACCTTGGAAAAATCAGCGCGCATTAAAAATCGCTAAAGAAAGAAAGAAAAAAAAACACGCAATTACCGTATTTATTGGACTGTAGCTTGCACCAGTCAAAAAATATATATAAAGAGAGAAAAAACATATGTCTCAATGGGCTGTAACTCACAATTTGGTGGGGTAACATAAAACCGAGACCTAGGATGAGTTACGGTCGGATTTGAAAATGCTGCTTACCGGCTAGCGCCCAGGCTCCGCTTTCTTTGCGCGTGTGCCCACTGTAGAAGATCAGGTAGGTATCGTGGCGCGGCCCGTCCGCCGTCCGCAACTCCAGGAAGTTGCGCAGCTTGGTGTGCAACGTCTCCAGGCTGACGCCGCTGGCCGAGTAGTCGCAGCCGAACGTTTGGATCATGTGGTGCGAGAAGAGCCGCTGCACGTTGTTCAGCATGCCTGTGGAACGCAGGTTCAGCTGCTGGGCCTGCTCCGGGGGCAGAAGGGTGGGCTGGCCGTCGGCGCTGAACCGCGGAATGGGGAAAGGAGAGTTGATTGCTTAAAAACACTGAAGTGGCTTGGGGTGGGGGAGGCATCGCAGAGTCGGGAATGAAAGCGAAGACTGAGGCGGGCAGGTTGACGACAACCGAGATGGAAAAGTAATTTGATGGAAAAGTGCGTGCGCTTGTGTGCGGATGATGAGCTGCATGAGCACCACTGAGGGGGTGGCGCGCGCGCACACACAAAGTCAAGGCTGGCTGCAAATCTCACGGCCATACGTTCCCCTTTCAACCTGCTCGCTTGATGTTATTCATGACCACGCGGATGGAAGTGACACCTCACCCCTTGACGACAGACATCTGCGGAACGGTATTTGGGGTTGGTTCCTCAATTACGGCGCACCTGGAGAATGGGATGTGGTGGCACCCTGTGGGCTATGTCGGACGTTGATTTTTTTTCTTCCCTCCCAAATCCATACTGTGCTCCCCTGACATGTGCGTCGTCTGGGGTTGTTTTGTCCCCCCCACACCCCCCTCCTTCTGTTTTTCTTTTCATATGCGGGGCAATCTTTATTCGACATTTCTTGTGCCTGTTCAATTTGGTCGCGCCCTGTGGCACAATGACAATAAAGCTATTCTGATTTCCATACGCAATGGAAATTTGTGGCATTTGAAGTAATTTTGTACACACTGAAGACAAGAGGACTCGTTGATATTGGCCCCCCAATGGAAAGACACACCTCCACGCACACACAGTCATTTTAATCATAAAAATGACATGCTTCATACTCGCGCCGTGTCTTGGCAAGCTCATCTAATCGTCTCAAATCTCGTGGCACCCGGGGGAGGAAAGGCTCATAGTTTGAGAATCACACTGCATCTTCTCGTCTCGCTCTTTCATCCTCCCTGTGAACCCCTCCCTTCTATCAAAATGCTGTCCCTTCTCCCTCACTGGCTTTCCAGCCTCTCCCGTCGCACCCTCCTGTGCTTTGTTTTGTTTTTTTTCGGCCTCCCCTTCTCACCCCGATTGCAGTAATCTCCCCGTGGGGCTCTTGTCATTGTGGCAACACGATCTGCAGCCATCAAACTGCCTATTACACACCACTGCATTCTCATCATGCCCCAGTCGTCCCCCCGCGGGCCCCGGCCGCGTGCAGCCTTGAATACAGAGACGCGGCGCCGGCGGGACCCGAGTGCGACGCGGAAAGGTTCCGCGCAGGGGAGGCACGCCACATTAGTGAGCATCGCTGGCTTCTTTGGTCACGTCGATCACTTCGATATGACGGTGTGCCGCCGCGCTCGAGGCCGGGGGAGGGGATCGTCAAAACTAACTGGCCTATTAAAAAAGATGGCAGGCCATCTGAGAGCAAACTAGGGGAGGCGTTGGGAGTGGCGGCGGCTAATGGCTAACCGCCGCACGACTTAGTATGCTGCGCGGGGAGCACCAGATTGATCCCTCTGGGGGCCGAACATTAGCGGCATGTTTATGCATCGTTATTGGCCTATTTATCCAGTTGGTTTTGCGTTAACCGAGAGGGGAGTTGAGATGAGAGTTCACGTTCTCAAAAAGCCGATGAAATGCCACCAGTGCGCACAAACAAAAAAAATCCTACCTGCAGTAGGTTGTGGGGACGACCAAAGCGTAGCCGACGCAGGTTCCCCCGAGACAGCCGCCCAGCTCATGGAACAGCCCGTGGGCCAACGACTCCAGAGGGAGCACGATCAGCAGCGCGCCGAGGAAGAGACCGTTGGCCGGCTGCACCGAGAGAAGACAGCGCCGCAAAGTCACTTCCTTCCATGTGCCACTTGGGCTTTGTGCAGAAGCAAACACGGGCGCTTCATTGGTGGTGACAGCCTGCGAGAAAGTTAACGCGACACGGGACCGATTGCGGGATCACGCCCGAAGGGACCCAACGTCTTAAGATGAGGAAACGAAATGAAAACTTTCAGAACGAAAATGATGAAGTAAAGACAAACAGAAACTTTGGGCTTGTTACACTTAAAAGTAAAATCAATTTCATGAGTCACTGGCACGCAGTCTCATTTAGCATTCTCAAGCAGACGTGTTGGTTTCACCACATGCCCGCCGCCGTTTCCGAGAATGAGAATCAATTCCTACAAGTGGAAGCGGCAAAAACACTCCATCACCGCTGATTCCCAAGCACTGCGGCGCGGGAAATTATTCATTTTCACTTGCATGGTCTGAAAATGATTTATTTCCTTAAAATCTCCGATATTTTTGTTCAGTTATCGATGTCAACGCAAACATTGGCTCGAAAAGTTGCTCGTTTGCTCCAAGTCTCCTACCTGCCAGGATACAGCACCCAGAATGACCGTGGACAGCAAGCTGAAGAACACCAGCCGCTCGGAAATGAGGCAAAAGTGTCGGATGCCCCTGGAGGCCATGACCTGCTCCAAGCTGCGGCTGTCCGAGCGCTGCGCCCGCCAGGCTCTCTGGCACTCGCTCAGCTTGCTGTGGAAGCCCCACACCGTGATGAGGAGGATCACGTGGCAGATGGACCAGAAGAGGCCGAACAGGCAGAAGCCTGGGATCACCAAGTACCACAGTTCCAAGTGGCCGAGCTGTGTGAGAAAAATATCATTCAATGGACGAGACATGCCTGTTTTTTTTTTTGTTTGTTTTTAAATGACAACAAATCGGTGGCTTTACCATTTCAATTTGGTTTCATGAAACAATGAGATGTAAACATGTAGACTGCACGTTTTAAGCGCTGACACGATAAAACAAAAACAAAAAAAAAAAAAAACCCCATCAAAAATTGTATTCTACCAGGCTGTGATGTGGATTTAAATTTGATGAAATGTCCAGAGCCTAACTTGGGCTAAAGATTCACTCCTGCACCCCTTGGTTGTACCTTAAAAGCAGCCATGACGATGAAGGTCAGCTCCAGCAGGCTCAACGGCAGGAGGGACAGGCGCCTCCACATGTTCGCCAAAGTCAGCACGGGCATCCAGCGCTCGGTGGCGCCCAGGGCGCTGAAGTACACGTCCAAGACGGGCTCGCACAGCAGCCGCCCCAAGTAGCACCCTAAGGCGAAAGGGTTGGCGGCGATGCCCAAGGCTTGGAAAAACACCAGCGAGGTGACCAGGGCGAAGCTGACCAGGTTGGGCAAAGCCAGGATGGACTTCATTCTCAAGTCCACGATGAGAGCGCCCAGAGCCACCACGAGGCCGACGATGGCAAGTGACTTGTTGAGAAGCATGGTGGTGCTGGCGATGGCAAAGCCGAGCAGCTCCAGGAACTCGGTGGACTTCAACAAGATGGGTTCGTAGCGGGTCGAGCGGCATATTCGCTCCGTGATGGCCCATACGACCTTCATGGCCACGCTGGCCAAGAGGAGATAGTTGGCAACCACTTCCTTAACGTTGGAATCCAAGGAGGGACTGTTGAGGAAGCACAGGAGACCCAGCAGGAAGCCAAACCACAGATGGAAAAGGCTCAGGCTGGCTTGCTCCATGCCAAAGTAGTAGTGGAGGATGCTTGCGATGCCGAGGACGAAAAGACCAAGGATGAAGATGACCAGGATCATCGGCTCGCTTGTCACCTCCCAGCGCAAGTACATACCCACGCACACCGCCACCAGGAGGTTGAGGCTTGACAGGTAACCGAGGCAACGCACCGATGTGATCATGTCTACCCCCTTGGGCCCCTCGACGGTCAGTGCCTCTTCTTCTTCTTCGTCTCTAGCCATAGCTGACAACGCCTGATCCAAACGTAGCTGATGGTTTGAAGAACTGACCAACCTTCTGTGTCATAAAATTAGGTAAGAAATCAACCCCTGAAAACCCATCAAAAACGCCAGTTAGAAACATATATACATATATATACATACATAAATATATACATACAATTATATATAATGTGTTTTTAACCTCATGAGCATTTTAAGTGAACTTAATTTTCAGAACACAACCATATAGAACAAACAATGTGCTGCGACATGATTTGCAACGAGTGCTAACACAACGTGACAAGCACATAACAGCGTGTCCCATGATGAAAGAACATACGTCTTGGAAGAGCTGGATATTTAGCTCGCCAGCGTGCTGCGGACAGTTTTTCTGGCGATGTGGCAGTCCTGAAGGGAAGCCGAATGCTAACATTAGCATACGCGATGATTTGCCGACAACCGCGAGCTAAGTACCTCACTGCCGTTTTATAGACACAGAGGGAGAAGACGCGTTCGAACACATGACGGAGTAAACCGCTGAAAGTATGAGAGGTATTTTTTTTAACGAATGTTTATCGTTCAAACGAAACTTACATGTTGCTTGGGAGTGAAAGCAGCTCTACTTCCGGATTCTAAAGTACAGCAAATCGCGAGGGTCAAACATGTCAGGCTTCGCTTTTCGTTGCTGCCAATTGGACCAAAATTAATTTCCCCAAATGTAGTGGAAATTATTCTCATTAACCAACTTGTTTGCAACGAACACATTATACTCTCACCAACGTTTCCGAGTTATCATAAATTGCTGTTTGCATATTAAAAATAGCTTCTTTTGGACCATTTCTTTTTACCTGGATTTAAAACATTCATACTTTGGGCTGACTTGACTTCTTATGGCAACGTATTCAATTTGAATGCAGCACAACAGCGAAATGCCACTTCATCATACTGGCTTTGAAATCTGGGCTCCACTAATTGAGGTTGCAGACCTCAGTACCCTTCTGGGTTTATTTTCCTTGCTGTGTTGATATGTGGCCTTCGAAACCAGTCGTGCTGTAACCTCAATTTATCAGTGGGACTGTTTCAGCTTGATTGTCTACATTGTCAGCATTCATCCTGATTAGTTGGTCAGAACAAGCCATGTTCGACGAGCAACACATATCTTTTGCAATCTGCATACATTAATACAATTAAAAATCAGCATCTCCAGTTAAGTTTTTGTCATGTTATGAGACAATTACCGATTCTGAACTGCTCCAGATGACGAATGAGGCACTGAGGCGTTCTGTTGAACTAAATTGCATTTTTATAGAGCAGTGCTGGGTTTTTTTCCTTTTCCTTTTTTACATTACGACGTGATCGTTGTGGTACGAAAAGGTGGATTAAGTCAAATCAATCCGCGCTGAAGGCCAAGGTCAATGCCTGTCTCATCACTGGTGTGATATGTCCAATAAATAGTCCAGTCCATGACAAGACAAGCTAGAGCTCAGGTGAAGTTGACACTTTTTTCCAGTTATAAAATGACCTCACCATCATCATGACTTACTCAACACAAATTGACAAAAAAAAGAAAAGAAATTTTAAAAATTCCCAAGAAAGAGAAAGCACTCCTGGGCTCCTGTTCATCCTAATTCATCATCCGTTCATATCTGGTTGAGTAACAAGATTGCTAACACAATGAAGGAGTCATCACATTTATCCAATTAGACCCTTAATGTGACATCTCTGAATAATTAACCCGTGCGGTGATGAAATCATTTTGTAGCGCGCATGTGTGTGTACGTGTGTGTGTGTGTTGAGGACAGGCGTACACCTTCCAAAGGGAAAGGAGTCATCTCAGCTCCTTATCAGAGCTTGTAAAAATGATATGTTGCTTTTCCGCTGAAGGTGAAAGTGCCGAAGGATCTCAGTGGGAGAGATTTGAGAGATTTGAGAGGAGGACGCATGAGGATATATCGGAGCGAAAACGCATGAGAGACAAGCAGAGAGACAGAGCGAAGCAAGGATGGGGGAGGTGGTGGGAAAACGGAGACAGGTTCACTTGAATTATGCAGAAGCTACCTTCATGTCAGACATAGCTCCAGCGCACCTGTGAGGATGCACAATATTCCAAACGGCCCCCTTTTGAGGATGTTTTCAAGCGTCATTGTGCAAAATCAGGATTTATTTGGCTGTTTTGGGCGGCTTGATTCATCACAGCGTGGAGATACGAAAGCGAGATGTAAAGCCATTAAGCGTGTGTCATGGCCACGTCGAGTTTGGTTCGGGGCAATTGAGATAGAACTAATTAGACATGAAACAGTCATTTGCGGGCAGCGGAGAGAAAAAGCGCCGGTTGACTGGCGAACCGCAAAAAAAAAAAAAGAATCTCGTATCGTCTGTCAGGTGATTGGCTGGACCTCGGTGGCCTTCTTCGCATGCCGCCGACAACACGGCCGCCATCAGCCTGCCTGGAGAGGCCTGTCCAATCACTGCTCTCATCTTCACAGACGGCACTCTGAGAGGATGCGACAAGGAGAAAAGATGATGAAGTCAGAATCAAAAGAGAAAATGCTGTTGGTTTGAGTGGGGGTGGAAAAAAAACCCACACAGGATAAGACTCTTGACTTGTATTTGTCTCTTAGGAGGTGAATCAAAGAGATGCTGCAAGCAAGAGAATGAGTATGAAAGAAACAATGTGAAAGATGAGAAGTGTCGGTAATCACCTTCATCTCCCAGTCGGAGACCGGTGCCTTCTTTTATTTCTGGAAAGAAGCTCCATTTCGGCTCCTTCTCACCTTCAGCTAATCGAAGCCTCTAAAAGGTCCAGAATTGCAGTTGACTGGCGACCAGTCCAGGGTGTGCCCTGTGTCTCGCCCAAAGTGGTCTGCGAGATGTTCCAGTTGTCCACAACCCTGTGGAGGACAAATAGTATTGTTATTGGTCCATGTTTGGTTCGATCTGCACTGGTGCTTTTCACAAGGGAACCATAATATTGATTGATTGCGCAATCGGTGCTTTTCACGAGATGAGCTTTTGCATGACCTTGAATTTATGAACCAGACTGACTGCTTGATGAGGAACTTCAAGAGTGCTGACAGGAGGGAAATTCCCCTCCAAGCAATTCATTTGTTTGCGCCCCCGCGTGAAATGCCGTACGCCCCCTTAAAGGCAACGGCGCGCCGCCACCTAATGGACCTTCATCCGGTGATCAAGTGCGCCGATGATGACGCCATTGTTCGTTTAACACAGCGTTTCACAAATGAGCGATTTGATTTCCGCCGGAACCTCCACGCGCTCGTCTCGTAATTGGCCCGGATTAGTCAGCGTTTTGTCAAAGTGCGGGCGCCGCCTGGTTGCGTTCAGCCTCCCATTGCCAGATGGATGAGAGATAAAGATTTGGCCACTTGATTTCCCTCCGCTCCGTTCTGCTGCGCTATACACGCGCGGGCTCCTGGAGGGAAAATATGGATCCTCGCTGTGCTTTCTCAGGTTTGACAAATCAGCATCTGTTGGCCCTGTCGGCGAGCCAAAAACCCCTCCAAGTCTGACATCGATAATAGAGAGAGGACACATGGAAGTGCCGAGACGCTCTTTAATTGGGAGCTCTCAGGTGTGGGATTAAAATGGGTGCGGAGGAAATGAATCTGACAGTCACTCAGAATGAAAAACTAGCTTTGGGTTCGGAAATAGCCGCCCTCATTAGTTTTCTCCGACTGGGTCTTTATCAACAGCCCGTAACGATGACTTTTTGCCAAGTCTGTTGCTCTTGGAGCCGAGCTCTGGAGGTCAGCCATTTTTGTGGAGTGCGTTGCTTGTCGTTGTAGTACAACCATTTTTTTTTTTTTGTGTGGTTCGTGTTGGCCGTCAACGGAAAACACTGTTCATCCGACGGTCCAAAGTGTGAGCAACACGAAGGCGGTGACTCATGATCAGGAGTCTCGGGCTCACTAAGTGTGGCCACACAGGCAGGATCCATGTTGGTGTGAAGTAAGTGAAAGTAAGGCGACTGGAACATCGTGTATTGGCTGAACAAACGACCGATAAAATGATCCAAACGATAGAGACGCAGGCCGCCTCTCGGAATGTGCCGACAATATAGCCGTCCGCGGCTGTGCCTGCCACCGCTTGGGCAGATTTAATGTGCGCGCCGGTCGATGATTCACCGTTTGAGTTCTTCAGCCCCGCCGCCTCTCGCTATGACCGTCACAGTCTTGCGACGCGCCGATCGCTCCTCTTTTTCGTTGTCACTTCATCTCCCACTTGCAGCTGCAAATCTCCCTCGTCTTAACTCTTCTTCATCCTTAGTGCGCCGGATGCGGTGTACTCACGCAAAGTCAAGGTAGGGGAGTTCAGTCAGCACTTTCATGCATCATTAGAGCGCAGATAAAAGTGCCGACATTAAAGGCGAAACGCCTGATGGAGCGCATGGAGTGTCTTTTGCAATACATTGGCTTCGATATCATTTCACTGGAGAAATATTAGATGGTGCTGAGGATGCTCCAGTATATGACTTGAGAAGTTTTGAAGGTATTTCTTTGTATTTCTGTCATGTAACGGTATTTTGCAGAGTCCATGCAGAGTCCCCCAGGGCTCCGTTGTTAGCCCTCTGTTCCTCTCAACGATGAGGGCATTGAACAAATTTTTTGCAAGCAACGTTGCACTCAAGCTCTTGTGAAGAATGTCTCAGTCGAAGAGGAATGAGCAAGAAGAAACGACTTGACACAGTGCCAGCGAGAAGATAAATCAAGCTGTCATCATCCCTTTTAATTGGGTTTTCCTGGCTCTTTTGTTTGGGACTTTAGCGACGAGATTGATTTACCCTATTGCCATGTCATTTCGCTCTGCAAAAAAATAAATCAATGGGCAAACAAAAATTACAAGTAAATTTGTCGACTCGACGTTATAGGACACTTTTTCAAATAACCTTTCAAGCAAGTCCAGGCGAGTCATTTTGATATTAGTCTAAAAACTCAAACGCTCGTTTATCATCAATGTCAGAAGACCGCCATCGCATCTAAAAGACATTTTTCCCCTCTGTCCTC